CTTTGCTCTGCTTTGCATGCTAGGAGTTCATTTGCGATTAGATCACACTGAGATCTAATCGTTCTTTGATCTCAGGTTTTAGCTGCGTCATAAGACACACACACACACACACACACACACAAAGAGAGACACGCGCGTTCACACACATAAATGCAAGGGCATTCATTGGCTCAATCACCCTGATGCACACATCATGTGCGAACACACAAGGGGAACTATCCGTATCAGCACATCATGTGGAGGTCTTTAAAGCAAAACAGGTGGGACAGAAATAACAAAAAAACAAAGTGTTGCAGGAGTGATGTGAACCAGCTCAGAGAGGTAAAAATAATATAGGGAAAATATATAAAAAGATAATCAATACCATAAAACACAATGTTGTTATGCATCTTAGAACAATCTTTTTTTACTGTAGTTCCTTCTTTGATTCTCTCTGTCTCTCTGATTATTTCCATTAATACATGCGAATACGTTTTATTAATAAATAATGAGGAAGACAACGTACACACGCTGAGAGAGGACCATTATCTTGCTTTACGTTTTGTTTGTCTCCCCCTCTCTTGCTGCATCAGCCCAGAAGGGATCTAGATAAGAGTCTATGTTATCTTCCTGCTCGCCATCTGGGCTAATCTATTGGATTTGTCTGGAGCGGTGAAGCCGTTAAGATCTGGCCTTGGCTAAGACAACCACGAGAAATCGAGAGAAGAATGGAGGGAGGATGAAACAAGGAGTATTTATATAGTGAATATAAGTTCTCCATAATTAAGTGTTAATTAATGCGTGTCTATGTACATGTATGTGTTCATGTGGGTGACCCTGCATACGTGTGTGTGGCTGCCTGAGTGTTTGTTTCTTTCGGGCATTATTTTTAGGTCATGCCTACGTGGCAACAGTCGAGCTCATTAGCACTTTCAGTGAAATGGGCTAATTGAAGAAACAGTTCTGCCTTTGTGTAAATGTAGTCACTTCAACACCATTAGCTTCACTGGGAGTTTTCCTATACAATACAATGGAAGTCTAGAAGAAAGTAATACCTCACATAAATAGATGTTTTTTTGTAAATGGAAATTCACATTCAAAATGCCCATACAATATGTACAATTAAAATAGTGATTATATAAATAAATAAATACAAAAGATAATAAATGAAAGATTATTACAAAATGATTACAGAATTACAAAATATGTGTAACAGAAGTATTAATGTTTAAGTGCATATTGTGCGTTGATGGGCTGTACAATTTTTACTGTATATGAAAAAACATGCGTACGTCACAGCTGTGAAGCAAGCTGTACAATAAAATTGTAGTTTAGTGTGGTTCAAATAAAAGTAAAATAGTAAAACAGACTTGGATGTATTAGAGTCCTTAACTCAGGCTGACAGACATGAAGTATCTTTGGTAGGCTGTTACTGTTTGATTGCATGTGGCCTCCAATTACAATTCACTACCTCCTCATACAGAACTTTAAATCTATTCAAATTGAACAGAACGTCTAGCATAAGACTAATAGATTTTCATAGATCAGCCTTTCACATAAATAAGAACAGATTGAATTGTGTGATCAGATACTGACATGACTGAGGAGCTGGAACAAAAATGCTGAAACATTTCAACCAAATGATGTATTGAATGTCTGCGCAGCAGGAAGAGGACTGCCTGCAATGGACTACCCAGCACACTGAGGGTGGGACTGAGGCTTGAGACACCAAAGACAAAATATAAACAAATTCTACTAATAATCATTGTATTAGTTACTCTGTACTTTGACCTCATTCGCCAGTTGCATTGTACTACCAGCACATATTGCATTGCTGTAGGATACTTCATGCTGTTGCTCATTTACTACGACTTGTAAAATGCATTCTTTATGATGCAGCCTCCATTTGGAGCAAACATGGATGGTTGCCAACAGGTCTGCACTCTGTCAGCTGACAGAATGATGTCCATTAAACTCTAATGTACTTTGCTGTTTAAGTATGTTTGTGTATCAGGGTGTTTTATTGTGGAGAGGCCAGTGTGAGAAACAGCAGACATCAATGCTGCTGAAGCACGGCACTGAACCTGGCTAGCCTCAGCTGACCTCTGACCTCTGACCTCTGACCTCGGTGTTGAGGGAGGCGAGGATTTCCCTACAGGGATCAAATATAGTATCACTTTGTCATTGTTTTTATTTTTTTTATTATTTATGTGTTGATCTGTATAAAAATCACTTTAAAGTGTCTCCTCACCTACTAGCACCTTTCTCTTTGCTGTGTCTCATCACAATTAGTCCCCTTTTTGCTGCAGCGGGGGCAGCATCAAAGCACAGCAGGGAGACTGACAATAGGAAATGGTAGTTCCTATCCATATGGTGTCCAGTTACACACACACACACACACACACACAAGCACTGAGGGAGAGAAAACATCTAGCAGCCTATCTTTGGTCGACTGTAGCGGCCGCCCACATAAATGTCCGCTTGGCTCTGCTCTGATCACATAATTGCTCTGTGCACACCTCTCCCCCACACACACACACACACACACACACACACAGACAGAAGGAGAGCGCACATCCAGAGAGCATACCCTGAAGCACACTCAGGGAGTTCACACACACACACACACACACACACTTAAAACCTGGATATGTACAGCACCCACGTACACTGTCACTGTTCAGTATGGCATGACCATTTGCACATGCAGGTACGCGCACACATGCACAGCAAATACCAAACAACAACTCCCACCAGCTCGCCCCCACACAGTCAGCATGTTCAGTGTGAGTGAGACACAGACATTCAGGGAGAAAAAGGTGAGAGAAGAGAAAGTAAAAGATGAGACTGAGCACAGTGAACACTGAATCCCTGCTTTACAAAAAAAAAACCCAGACAAAAATGGCTTTACCCTGGCAAAGTTACAAATTCTACTAAATTGTGTTGTGTTATTTTTACTCATCGCCTTTTGTCCATTTGTCTGATCATAAATGAAACACTTTTCTATTCCATGTCTTTGTGACCTGGAAGTTTTACCACATAATACTTGTAGGGAGGACTGCGTGGCTGCAGGGGTGGTCTGGAAGGCATTTTGTCCTTCCCCACAACAATAACTCCCTGCCAGCTCCCTGCGGCTGTTGTTCTGTACATGACACTGACTTTCGACCTCTTTTCAGAGGAAGTGAGGACAGTATTTCCCTATAACTTTTATATTATATAACACATCTTTCATTCAATATATGGGCCTTGATATGTTCATTTTGATATAAGTAACAATCAAAGTTTAGGTATTATTTATTACTGGTAATTTTGACATTTTAAGAACTATGCTTATTCTCTTTCTTGCCAAGTGTCCAATGTGAACATTGATACCACTGTCTGTGCAGTAAATATGTAGTCGAGCCAAAACTACTTGGCTGAGCTTAGCACAAAGAACAGGAACGGTGGAAGCTAGCCTGGTTCTGTCCGAAGGTAAGAAAACCGGCCTACCAGCGCCTCCAAAGCTCACCAGTTGACATGACATATCCCGTTTGGTTAATCCACACAAAAGTGAAGTTTAAAAACGACTCCTCTCCGTTTCAAAGGTGGTGATGTACCAGACAGTTTTACTTGGCTGGGAACGGTAACTTCCTGGAGCCTCAACTTGTTGCTTGACAACTTCTTTAAGAGTTTGTCACTTTTGGACAGAGGCAGTCTAACAATTTCCCCAGTTTCCAGTCTTAAGGCGAGGCTAAGCTGTGTCTTTACTGTTCAGACTTGACAATGACAGTCTTCTCATCACTGTGCCTCTTGCTAACTGTTCTCAGTGTGTCATGTAGGATCCCATCATTTAGGTTATCAGGGCCTTTAAAGCTCAACTGGAACTTTGTTGTTTTTACAGTATCTCATCAAAGCTCTGTAATCTATGTCTTTAGATGCTGTGCGTATAACTACAAAGGTTCTCTAAAGGATTGTTATGGTAGCCCTCAAATTCCCTTGATTAAATTGCCAGGACCTACACTCTCAGTTACAAGCAGGCACACTTGTGGGACAGGATTACATACACGGGAATCAATTCTAACTGGCTTGTTATAATTAGATTAGACCTGAGTTTGCTAAAAAAAAAATAAAAAAATTTAGAGTTGGTAAGTCACTTTCTATGCTTTCATCACTGTTAGGACTTGGTAATGGTGCATGACAATGAAATTACAAATGCTGTTGGTAATATCTAGAATTTGAAAACCTCTACTTGTAAGACTGCAGATCAAATACTCTATTTAAACATAAAGGCAGCATGAAACTGAAGCACAATGTGTCTATACACAGTATTAACACTCACTATACAGTTATCATACAAAGGATTATTGAGAACGCATGCCAAACATCAATAGCCCCATCAAAATCTCTCTGTCAAGCTGATCAGTGAGACACAACAAATCGATCCCGAATAAAAGACCATCAGCAGATCTGTCGTCAGCTGGCCGCTGATACACAAATGAGCACAAAATGACAGCAGCAATCTGACGGGCTGATCATTACACAGCCTCGGCAGAAAGAGGAGAGGCGAGGAGAGGCTGAGCTCTGAGATCGTTTTGAGAAAAATGTTCATTGACAAAGGAAGAGGTGGTGATAGTGGGAAAAGAAAGCAATGGTTAGAGCAAAGTAGAAGTACATATCCATCGCATCAATTTAAGAGAACGAAATGCATCAGAAAGGACCAGAGTGCGCAGAATTGTTCGGGAAAGAAGAGAGAGAGCATGTATTTGGCAGCAATAGGGAGAATAAGACCGAGGAGGAGTAGATAAGAAAAGACAAAAGGTAGCATTATCGTTCTATTCAAAGACTGAGGAGTGTTTGCACTCCTTTGAAAAAGGATGACAGTGAAACAGAAAACCAAACACAAAGGGAATATCAGTAAGAGACAAAAACCTCAATAAAGACAAAGCCTGGGAACTTTCAACAAGGAAAAGGTTCATTTTCAGCAAAATGACATGGCTCAAAGTGTGTCAAGAGGCAATAAACACCAAGGCTGCTCCTCCTACCTGAGTTCCTCTTGGAGATGTACTTGACGTCGTCACAGGCTCCTGAGGCGAGGAGGAGGAGGAGGAGGAAGAGGAGGAGGGATAAAGGCTTCATCTCTCTATTCTCCACTGGCACCTTCAGGAAAGGGAACACAGCGGAGACTGAGTGTTAGAGATAACATTGCATGTATCACTCTGATTCTCACTAACGCAGCAACAACAAGCAAACAGTATCCAGACTGTACCTAGGTATATACAGTGAACACAATTACGGCGACAAAAAAACACTAAAGATCATATTTATGTCTTGCTCACACGCTCAAAGTCCTGTTGATTGGAGAGGGCATGCAAACAGCAGTCTCCTATGTTGCATCAGACACTTTGCCGATATTTAAGCTCACGAGCATCCAGAGGCAATCGCCCGTGGGAAAATCATACTGTGAGCTCACTGCAGGAGAACAGGGCATTCCAGGGAATAGTCAAGGCAGAGTTTTAACCTGAGCTAAAATTCCTACATTGGTCCTGATGGTCCCCTTTAGGTTTTGACCACTCAGTGGTTTCATAAAGTTAAGCATGTCATTTCGCATTTTGGCCGTCTGACCTAATTTACTTTATGAAGGGCACAATAACTTTCAAACAAAGGCAACTGCAACCAGTATTGAAGCGACATAACCCATGTAAGCATTTAGACAAAGTGCTAATGCTACCATTTTTCTGGTAAATGCAGTATCTAGGCTAAATAATGTGGGCTTCATCCTAATAGCACACACTATCAGTGAATACAGTAAGCGGCTTCATGACAAAAAGCCAATGACAGAGCTGAGAAATTACAAACAGTTGTACAATTTAATAATTATTGTATTATTACAGTATAGTGTGGATGACAGTTTGGTAGCCCATAGAACATACAAAAAATATATACAGTATATTTAGATATAATATCTATTCACAGTATATTGATTTAAGAACATCTAAATATCATGTGTTTTTGATCCATTTTATCCAAACACATGTTCACTTGGAAGTGGAGTCAAAGAATCAGATGGTGCTTTTCTTTTGGAGATACCTGCTTGCATGTGCTTAAATGACTGAATCAAACAATGCCTACTGTAAAGACTCCAATGTTTTTACGCACTGAAGAAATACGGAGACACATCTTTACAGTGATTTCAATGTTCTGTTTTTGTCCTTTTTATGATTTCAAATTGATGTTAAAAGCTACTGATGAAAAGAAAAAAAAAATAGGGTAACCCCCAATCTTGTTGTGTGGTCTGCAAAAAGTGAACAATAAAATGTTTTATTACAACTATGGCTGCAAGAACAGCAGAAAAAAACATTAATATTGATCTGAAACACGGGTTGGGGGAGTTTAGAAAAAAATCTATTTTTTCAACTGATTAAAATCAAAATACAGAAACTAAATTAGATTTGACCATAGGCCATGAATACAAAGGCTGCAGATGCTTTGGCGCACACGCACACACACAGCCAGTCATTGAGCCAGCTATGTGAAATCACATTGATAGGACATAATCAGATTTTTTCATGCTTTCTGTGTACAAACTGTGTATGTATACGCGCACACACACACACACACACACACACACAGGCATGCACGCACACACAGGCACTGTAAACCAGGGAAAGATTGAAAAAGATTAGCCATGCCAGCAGTCATTTCATTGTATTTTTCATGACAACAAAGGGAACTTACACTCCAGCTTGAGTGCTGATTGAAATCACATTTGATTCACATGAACGGCGGGACAGCTCATGACAGAACCTAGGATGGTGTTGACATGTGAGCCACAGTTGTTTGCCTTTGAAGATGGGCAATGCAATGATGGGATGGGGATCTATAACTGGGACAAAACTGATATGGAGAACAAAGCTGAAAGAACAATAATATGATGACGAGTATTGTATGTTGTTGTCACTACTGGATTGAAGAATTACTTTATTAATCCCCCTGGAAGGGAAAAAATTTCCCACACACAGTAGGCCCAAAATACACATCTCTGCCTCATTTCAGCTGGCTTTCAGGACATCCTGCATGTCTTCACTTGATATTGAAAGTACAGTATATTTTCGTTTTCATAACATTTCAGCACTTGATTTGGGAGTCAAATGCACACATTCATCACTGGAAAAGGCTTTTCACCATAAATGGCTACAGGAAACTCGTAGAATCATTTAAAATATAAAGAGGTATGTAGTGTGTCTCATCATCATCTTGATAGCATCACACGTGCAGCTCAAATCATCAGTATTATAATAATAATAATTATAATATATATATTATACATATACATAATACAGTCCACTCATCACTTCTGATTGGTTGATTAAAGGTCAAATCCACAGCACTCACACATACACAAAAGACTTTTCTCACGGCAAACATTTTGGTTCATCATAGTAGGAAAGTAATATTGACAGTGCACTATACCAGGACCCTGAAACTGAAAAAGCTAAATAGAATTCAGACATCTCTAGTGTTATTAGTTGAACCTGTGTTGCTGTGGTGTGGAAAAAAAGTAGGCCAATGGACCTTCCTCATAGCCAACATTTTGACTTTCCACAGCAGTTAAAGCACAGGTGCAACTAATAATACAGAAGATGGCTCCATTTTATGTAGGTGTCCCAGTAAGCAAACATTCATAATACCAGGGTCCTGACACAGCAACACCTGGGCAGAATGTTTTCATCACCAGTTACTCATGTGCTTTAACTGCTGTGACTAGTCAAGATGTTTGCTCTGAGTCAGGTTGGAAGAATACAGTACATGCTTTGCAACTTTGCTCAGCTCGTGCTAAAGAACTATATTTGCAAGGTGAAAGTACAATATTCAGTCTTTAATAATTCAATAGCCAACAGTAGGAACTAATGAACATTTTCTATCTATGCAAATATAATTCTGTGCTCTTTACTCTGGAGAGCAGTTTTTGCTTCATGGTAACAGAAAGTGAAATTAACTGAAATTAAATAACATTTTTGTATCTACAGCACACATAGACATAGAAATGTATATAACTTTTTATTAAATGATTGTGACCCATGCCCTGCGATGGACTGGGGTGTACCCCGCCTTTCACCCGATGTCAGCTGCAACCCTGTGCGCAGGATAAGCGGTTGACGATGGGTGGATGAATGGACTGTGCCCCATATCTTTGCATGCTCCTTCTACACAGATGGAGGACTAGTTTTCATACAGCCAAAATATTTTCTTTAAATCGGCAACGCCAGTGTTCCGTCACAGGCAGACGGTCACACTGAGCTGGACGCTAGCCTGCTACACAGCACAAGAGCCACAAACTCTTGACCAACAACCCACATTTGCTTTCCTGCTAAAGTTGCCTTCTTATGTGACTCAAACATCTTGTCCTGCGTCTCAGCTTATTAAATGAACCAAACACAGCGGAGACTGTGTGTTAGAGATACTGTTTGCTTGTTGTTGCTGGGTTTGCTAATAAGCGGGTTAGCAGCAAAGATCGCACAGCATGTAAAGCACCCGCAACGGTCACTTCAATTCGTGTAGATGGGGGTGTGGTCTTTAGCCTTGTTTGTTAACTCTGTCTCTCGTTCCCCTTCTAGAACTCAGCCTACAAGTTGCTGTCAATAAAACAGGAATGCACCTTTCCAGTCAGCTGATTGCACAAGCAGCATCTCCAATATTGTCATCATAAAACGTATTTTATTCTTTTTAATAATAAAAATACAAAACTATTAAAAATACTTTTAACTATTATTATTATTGTAAAAATGGGTGACTAAATGTCATTTCATTTGAATATTATGCCAAGTAAAGAGATCGATGTGTTATTAATCCCCACTGGTTGTGTGTCCAGTGAGAAAGTAAGTGATGCACCTGTCCGCCTGTCTTGGTGCAGTCTGTACATATAATTGTTTCATAAAAACTTTGTTTAGCTTAATAAAATTCCTGCTACTTTCCCTTTAGTACAGAGTCTGTGCCAATAGAAGTGTTAAGACAAAAAAATAAAGAAATAATACAAATACATAAATAAATAAATAAAATATCCTTTATCGAAGATGGTAGAGCTGGACTGATATCAGTTTTCAGGATTGGCTGCAGGGTAAGATTCATATCTCTTGCTTTTACAAGACAGTTACAACGTGAGACTTGCCAATAAAATCCAGTATTAACCAGTTTCCACAATTTCCATAAAATTATCTGCATCAGTTTTCACTCCGAAAGTTTTAACTGTTGACTTCATCTTTAAGGGGGAAAAAACATTACATAAAGCTTAAAACCATTTCACTGCCATAAAAACTCAAATGACACAGAAAAAAGCTTTGATAATGAGCTGTTTTTGCTAGTATTTTTGCTGGTACTGACAATACAAGTCATAACATTTTAGGAATTGTTGGCTCTGCACACACTGTGACAGGCACATGGGACCAACCAGACTTAGCAGGACCTGTAGATCCACGCTTTCTTTGTTTTTGTTTGGCCTCTTCCTAGCCTCACAGTCTCCAGGCCTCAGAGGAAGAAAACAGGATGTGTCAGGTTATTTTATACTCTTGCAGAAAAAGCTAAATTGAGCTGTTGTCTTCAGGTAAAGATAGTGAAGCAGGCATTCTCTGACAAGCAACACTGAGAAAAATCAAAGTGTGAGTCAATCATATGTGGGTAGTGTTTATCAGGTTCTTTCGGAAAAGACAAAACAGAAACAGAAACAGAAAAAAAGTAATACCAATGGAGTTGAGCATAAAAACCTTAGGCTTTTGAGACATAAACATAAACATAAATAGTAATAGGATACTTCATCATACCTTGTCAGGAAATGTATATTTTCCTTTGCCTCCTCCACAAAAAGTCAGCGTCAGCCAGAGAACAGACGCTATTGAGCAGGTAGAGATTCAATGTCTAAAGGAAACTAAGAGGTAGTTAACCACCAACTATCCTGGCCACCAAAACAAATAAAGCTTAATTTGGCATTAGGTTTTTGGAGAAAATCTTGCCTTTGCTGATGCTCAGTATGTGACAGCAGTAGTTTGTTATGTTGCCAAAACCTTTTTAAAGGAAGACTCAAGGAAAAGGGACATTCAAAAAGTAGGGCCCAAGACGTTTGAAACAAAAACAGCACAAAAGAGACTTTTACTGCACACGCACAC